GGGGCCCGCGCTCTGGCGCCTGCCGGAGGAGCTGCTGCTGCTCATCTGCTCCTACCTCGACATGCGGGCCCTCGGGCGCCTGGCCCAGGTGTGCCGCTGGCTGCGGCGCTTCACCAGCTGCGACCTGCTCTGGCGCCGGATAGCCCGGGCCTCGCTCAACTCCGGCTTCACGCGGCTCGGCACCGACCTGTAAGCGCCCGCTCGCCCGCCCGCTCCCCGCCCCGGGCGGGCCGGCGTCCTGGGAAAGGGCGGGGCGCCGAGGCCTGGTCGGCTCGGGGCCGTGTGGCACCCGAAATACCGAAGCCCAGATTCACTCCACCCCCCCCACCCCACCCGCAGGTCCCTCCCCAGCACCCCCGGGGAATCCCGGGGTCACCCCTCTTCAAGAGTTCCCCCACCCGAGGGAGCGTCGGGAGAGCATCTCTCAGCGCCCTCCCCCGTGGGCGGCTACTCACTAAATTAGCCATCCTAAAATACTCTTCAGCCCTTGTGAGTTGTGGCTTTCCCTAAATTTCTGACTCTCTGGGTTCCTCAGCTCGGAACAGCTAGGTTGGTCTGTGTCCTGTGCGCCAGGCCTTGAAGGACCCAGGCCCACTAGGTGGTCTTTCAACGTGTTTTTGTGGCCTTTCATCCCGCCCCCTCTCTCCGAGGTTGTTAGGCTTCAGGGCTCAGATAAAGTCAAATATGCAGAAAAGGGCTCGGATCCTTAAAAAAAAAAGCTTTTAGTCCCATTGTCAACATATTTTAGGACTTGATTCAGGCAGAAGGACCCACAAAAGATGTCTGCTTGAGGCAACAAGTTGGAGCTGATGTAGGCTGTATCCAAGATCCTGCAGTTTGACCTAGTAGTGTCTGAGACCTGTGAATGCAAAACATTCCTGAAGCACATAGGTTGTTAAACGGGAAGGGGAGAGCATCCACAGGGGAGAGGTGAGGGTAAAGCTTTCAGATTGCAGCCTGCCCTGCTCAATTGTAATACAGGAGGATAACACCCCCCCTTTTTTTGCATAAGAAATCATCTCCACACAACTTTTTCCATTTTAAAAGCTTTTCAGTTGCACACCCCCTTAATTGCCAACCTGCCCTTGCTCCCTTACCAGTCCCAACAGAAGAGTGCCATCACATGCCACACCGTACATTTGTCTTGAATTAGTTCCTTAGAATAAAAATCTCAAGCTAGGCATTATTGAGCTTTTGATATGCAAAGGTACTGGATCAAGTCTCCATATACCAGCAAAGAATGAGGGAACCAATTTGATGTGAGAATTAACAAAAACAAAACCCAAAAACCTTTGCAACTTCAGTAGCTGAGTGAGGGTACCCAAAGCTGTGGTACTTTGTACCTCTCATCACGGGCCAGGATAAATATTTTGCCATGTGTCGGTTTCACCTGTGAGAGTGTCTCTTTCTACTCTGTTACTGGGGTCTTGGTGTTTTTGTTATAAATTTGGAATTTCTAGTCTGTCATCTTTGATATATATTTTCCAGTCAATTTTTTATTCTATTGTTTTTATTAGAATTTTTATACTTCATTAGAATTTGCCAATCTTGTAATTTTTTCTCCTCCCCCTTAACCTGAGAAATTTCTAATTCTTCAACAGACCTGACACATTTGGTTGCCAACTGATTTTCTTATAACTTGATTTTTAAAATGGCGTTTTCATCAGTAACACTTGTTTTTGTGCAAGGAGAAAAATTCTTTTAATATATTTTTCTCTAAATAGCTGCTTAGTTATTGCTACACCAGTTGTTAAGCGTCTCTTTCACTTTGGGAAGCTTACATTGCTGTATACTAATGTACACACACACACACACACACACACACACACACACACACACACACACGTTTGTGTAGTCAATTTATATTTGCACTCTCACTTTCTTCTACTGGTGTAGCCTCCCATTCCCATAACATTTTAAATGTGTTGCTCCCTGATAGAGTGTAGTATCTGCTCGGGTTATATTATACCTGCTGGCTTGAAATGGCAGTGTGTTATTACTCCACTGATACTCAGTTTATGGCCAAAACCACTCTATGCCCTTTCAAGGATTCTTGTGCTCACCGTAAAGTTAACATCTAATTTTTATTTAGCATGTATTACTGGTTTGTTCCCGTGTGTTTGTATTTCATGGGTTTTGTGTTTGCTGAAAGTGCACTCTTTTCTCCTGCCCTCTAATGTAGTGAGTCCCCCCCCCCATTGTCTTGTTTGACTCACTCATTCTATTCTAGTACAGTTTGTTGGTTCAGTGATGATGGTTCCTTAGGATTTCAGGTGTGTGTACAGTCTTATCACCTGTAAACACGAGTATCCTCCTCCCCTTTTTAAAATCTGAATAACTTTTTTAAGCCAAAGGGAAAAGAATCAGAATTATATGTATTTCAATCTCCAGTAATCTGTAGTAAAGTTTACTTATAGACATTTTATGTGCTTTTCTTCCTCCTCTTCTCCCCCCCCCCCTTCTTATTGGCATATGTTCATTGTGTATAGTTAGTTCTGGATTTCAGAAACATTTTCTTTCATGTGTATCATGTACTCTGACAGAGTAACTTGTTGAAGGAATATTGACCCATTATAGAAGTTGTCCAAAATGACTGGCATTCAAGCTAACTAAAGCAAAGTGGCTTTCTCTTACTCTGGAGAATAAATGAGTCAATGTTTATTTTTATTTTCCTTTCTGATGTTCTAAAAGAGAGAAACTGAGAATGATAACAAAATGAAAATGAATTTATAGTAAAAAGTGCTTAGGGCTTGCCAAATGATATTTATTATTGCTTTACTGTTGTTAGATATGTGCATTTAAATTTTGTGTGTATGTGTCCTAGCATGAAGCATTGTCTTTCCAGAGAGGTTGTTTTGCTGTGGCACTTGATAAAGAGCAGGGTCATTGCTCTGTTTTTTTGGGTTGAGAGGGAGAAATTATGCCTGTTATAGCAGGTGGAGAGCATTTACCAGTGTGACCTGCTTCTGGACAGCTGCAAAGACTTAATAAACCACCAGGAGAGGTAGTTGTCATCCCTGAAGAGAGAAGGTATGTACCCCAATTCACTCAGCGCGTCAGAGTGCCTGTTCCCTAAGTGCAGAACACAGCTCCCTGCATACCCTGGACTGTTATTCATGCTTTGGATAATTCACTGCAGACTGGATAAGCAAGTGTGTCTTTGTAAGCACAGTACAAAACTTTGACTTTCTCAGAAGACATAGTCGCACTGGCTTTGAGTTTTAGCTCCTTAAAGACTAGGAATGGCATTGCTCAGTAAAGTGGGGCCAAGCCAGCTGGGATTGTGCTCAGTCCTCGAGAGCCTTTCCCAAGCTGTTTTTAACTGCTTGTCTCCCCTGTCTTCTGCATGTGTCAGGAGTGGACATGGTTTGATTCGGAAGTGCTGCCTAGTGATAGGAAACACACACAAACACACACACACCAGCCAGGTTCTCTCCCCTGCCCCAGATGTTTTCACGAGCATGACAGCAGAACCTGGGGCTTAGGGATGCACTTGCTGCTTAAGGGCCTTGTGAGTTTTAGAAACACTAACTGCTAAGGTTTACTGACCTTCCGGCCAGGGCAAGCCCTGTTCAGTTTAGCTCTTCCTAACTGATCATAGCTTTGGTGAGTAAGATGAACTGCTTGGGTTCCTTGTCATTTGTTAATGGTCTTATTCTTGTGCTTGAAGGCATTTGAGCCACTTAAAAACCACAAACAAATAATTTGCTTCCCTTTAGGCCTCTTGCCCAGTGAACACTAAGAAGTATCCTAAGTGGGCTTTTTTTTTCTTCTTCTTCCCCCCCCCCTTTTTTTTAGGAAACAAAAAGTAGTTTGAATTAGTCATCTGATTTCAAAAAAGTTTTATTTGAAAGCTTTATGAAGCCTAGGGGAATAGAAATATCTTGGTTATAAGAGTAAAAATCAAGGCAGTGTTTCATACAGAGATCTTTTGAGTAAAGAATGGGGTGGGCACTCACCCAGTTCAGTGTGTAAGAACAAAGCATTGGACTCCAGCTCTGTCCATATATGATGCCTGGCCTGTGCAAAAAGCACTCTGTGCTGGGGAGGAACAGAAGGGCTTCTCTAAATTCTGATATGGATAATTAGTAGGAGCAGAGAAAGGGGGACTCTGCCTAGAAACCGTTTAAATAGGACTTGCAATCTCCATGGTCAAGAAAGCTTACTTGACCCCTTCTTTATTGCAGTGTTACATATTTTCAGGTGGGAATTTCCTTTTAAGTACCCTATGGACAGTTACTTGGCTGTGCTTACATTAGCCAGGGATAGATTGCCTGGAATTAACAATAGGGGTTTCAGGAGTAGCTAGAGCTTCTGAGGTGTTTGCCCTGGCATGCAGGCTCATTCCTTTGACGGTCCTGCAGCCTTGGAGCTCTTTGAGGCTAGAGGACGAGGGTATCTATTTCAGTGATGATTAACATCCAGAGTGGTGAGATAGAAACAGATAAGCAGAGTGTGTTTGTTTGTTTTAAAATGATTGCACCTAAGAGCTCCCCCTTCCCACCTCCGCCCTGGAAAAAAAAAAAGCATGAAGTTTCCTTTCCTAACTGAATGGAGAGGGCGTTGCTGACTGGTCTTTAAGGCCTAAACTGTGATTTTTAGGAAACAATTAGCAACTCAAAAGTATCCCAGGCTTTCTTCTTATCCCTCTGCCTTACCTGTGAGGAGTCAGCCTCTCCTTAGCTGCTCAGAGGTTTCCTGTAGGGCTGTGTTATCTTAGTTGATTTAGAAAGGCCTTTTAAAAATTTTATTTGTTTTTAAATATGATGTGTATGGGTGTGTGCACATGAATGTAGGTGCCTGGGGGAGGTCAGAGACATTGGATCCCTGGTGCCAGAGGGTGCTGGGACTGGAGTCAGGTCTTCTGTAAGAGCTGTATGTGCTCTTAACCACTGAGCCATCTCTCCAGCCTCAGGCCTTTTTTTTTTTTTTTTTAAATGGTTTCTGAGTTAATAAAAGGAGGGTTCAGTTTACATGCTCATAGTAAATACACCTGCAGAAGCAGGAAATGGTCTGGTGCAGGCCGTACCTTCAGACGCAGACGGGAAGAGAGGAGACCTCCAAGGCTGCAGGGATGAAGTACTCCCTGCCTTTCCTAGTCACCTGGCCTTTGAACCATAGGGGTGACTTCTCTAACGTTCGAGGCAGAATCCTAGAGAAAACCAGACTCTACAGTCTGCCGTGAGTTCATTTGGAAATCTGGATCTTTCATCTGAGTCAAGTTTGGGTTGAACTTCTGAAGTCCAGGGGGTGGCAGAATTACTGAGGAAACATACAGGTTTTTAAATGATTACTTTTGAGTTGTTGACATAGAAAAGAATCTCCTTTGTATGAAGTCTTTTCCTTAACTCTGGGTTGACCTTGGCGTTGGATTAGTTTCTGGTCCTGACTCCTAACCGTGGAGCAGGGAGAAATTCAAGTTGACTTTCTTTGAGGCAGGTTCCGGTAAATCTTGAAAATTAACGTGAGAAGGAATAAAGGGGGAAAATGGATTATGAGTTTCAGAGGAAAAATTGACTCCTCTACCCGGATCTACAGACACTGATTGTTGAGAAACTTTCTCTGGTGTACCCTGTCAGATGAGGTGGACAAGAGAGGACTTGGTTCATTTCCGAGGGAGTCTCCCTGTTCTGTAGTCTTGTTCAGGTCAGTGGGGTCTGGGTGGAAGGCCACAGAGGCAAGATGGTGAGCCTAGTGAAGAGCAGCCATGTGAACCCCGGCTCCCGGGAGCCCTCGTCTGAACTGAGGAGGAGACGGTCTGGAAAAAGAATTGACCCCTTGTTGGAGGGTTGGCTGCCGTGGCTCAGCTACGTCAGTTCTTCATTTTCTTCAGACTCTCCACATCGCCCTCCCTGGAAGAACGGGCCACCCAATGGGCCCTGCCTGCCCCTCTTTAGCCTACAGTTAATCGCCCACACATTCTCCCTTGTTCTCTTTCTTTTTTGGTATTTGACATGAGCTCAAATGGCTGAGAAAGGTGACAACTGTGAAATGAGGACAGGGCTTGGAGACCCCTTAAAAAATACATGTGACGGCATTAAATGACAAGAGCAGGCTGCCGGGCCTTTCAAAACACCACCATGTCTGTTGACTTTCCAGTCCTTGTCCACAGCACCAAATTGGAGGTCAAAGAATCATAGGAGTTAGAGATGGGAAAGACATGTGGGGTCAGCTAGTTCACCCCTCCGCCCTCTCCGGCCCCTCACTCCCCATCATTCCTTACATGATACTCTCTCGCTCAGCTCTTGTACAGTTTTCACGGTCTTCACTCAGCCCCAGCCATCACCTTTGGGGAATGATGTTGGAGGTTCTGGTCAGCTTCTCCGTGGTGAAGAGAGAGATTGCCTCTGCCCCCAGTTGACATCCATGAACTCTGTTGGTGGTCTCAGCTGAAATCCTAAGGCTTGCTGAATACCTCTCTGTTGCTCGGTAATGGGGCTTTCCCCATAGAGCGTTAGTGTGTGATGTCACCAGCAAAGAGGAGTCCCTGCTGAATTAAGTCCTACGGTTTTGCTTTTGAAAACTCTTGACCTGAAGGGAATTAGATATATGGACTGGGAACAGATGGCCAGTAATAATGAGAGTATATTGAATTGGAATTTGATAAGAAATGTAATGTAGAAATTGGTGGATTTGCTAGGCACAGTGGTGCATGCCTTTAATCCCAGCACTTGGGAGACAGAGGCAGGTAGATGGATCTTTGTGAGTTTGAGGCCAGCCTGGTGTACATGGGGGAGTTCCAGGACAGTCAGAGATCTTGTCTCAAAAAGCCAATAAATAAATAAATAAATAAAATAAGGAAAAGAAAAGAAAAAAGAAAGAAGAGAAAAGAAAAAGAATTGGTGGGTTGGGGCCGCTGAGATGGTCCAGGGGGTGAAGATGTTTGCTGCCGGCCGGGCCTCATGGCCTGAGTTCGAGTCTCTGGAACCCATATGGTGGAAGGAGAACCAACTCACATAAGTTGTTCTCTGACCTCTACCTGTATACCATGGCAATGTGCAGCCACACACATTCTCCCTTTTCCTCTCTCCCAGCCCCTCTCCCCCACTAAATGTAATTACAGTTTTCTTTGGATTAAATAAACATGAAAAACACTGGACCTGGCAAGTAGTAAGGCGCTGTTTTGGGAAATACAGGTTAGGGAAGAAGGAATGTTGCCTTACCGAGGCGAAGGTTCACTCTAAGGCAAATAGAGGGCAGCTGAGTTGGAGGTAGGCATCTTGGGAAGGAAACACTGTTGCCTTTGTGGTTCCTTCACTTGAACAGATTTCACCAGTTACTATTTATTTGTATGTGCGAGTATGTGTGTGGGTGTGCGTGCCATGGGCACCTGTGGAGTTCAGAGGACAACCTAGGGTTTTCTCTCACTACGGTGAGGGTTCCAAGGATTGAACTCGGGTTGTCGGGTTTGGTGGCCAGTGTCCTTATTCGCTGGGCCGCTGGGCAGCCTCCCCTTTGCTTTAAGGGGTCCGGGAGAGAGAAGTCATGCTCATTGGCTCGGTGGTTTGGAAAGGGAAGAGTCGTTTTTAGAGGCCTCTTTGGAGGGCTACCCCGACCTCCCCCTTCTTGTTCCAGCAGCTGTTGGGAGCAGTCCGAAGGGGGTATTATGTTTCTTCTGGTAACTCTGCCAAGAATGAGAGGAAATCCACAATCTGTGGGGTTTGGGGGTGGGGTGGGGATAGGGTGGCAGGTGATGGGACAGGGAAATTAAATTGTTTTATAGTAAATACGTTGAGATACTTTTCCTGGAGAGCAGTTTTACTGAAAGGAACAGTGTATTTCCCCTGTTCACAAACTTAATGAGTTCCTTTCTTTAGAAAAAAGGAAATAGTTTTCAGTACTTTTTCTTTCTTGTAGTTCTAGCTTTGACCTCCTAGTTCTTGGGTTTCCTTTAGAAAGTCTGTACTGAAAAGATGCATCAGGAGATTCAGATGTCGGTGGTGTGTGCTCAGGACAGTGTGCTGTGGGGAGTGAAAGGCTGTGGGAGAGCCTTTCACTTAGCCCTTATCCTGCCTACAGTTTGACTTTGTCATAGCAGCCTAGACACTGGACATGGGAAACTGGCCGGTGCTGTATGTATGGTTCACGCTCTCTCCATCCCTTTGTCCAGGCTAGTGGGACACCAGGGATTTTAAAGTCTGGATACTTTGAGTGATTAATATGGAACACAGTTTTAAGATTAAAAACAATAAAAAAGTAATCCTGGGAAGCAGAGTGGTGTAATTATTCCTCACATTTCAGACGGGGAGTCCAGGGAAAAGAAGGCAAGCGAACAAAGTATAACTAAGTCAGCCTGTGCCTAATTCATGACTCAGAGGGGAGGCTTGTCCCCAGTCCCCACCCCTCACACAAATGGCAGCTTCTCTTTACTGTTGTTTAGTCTCAGAAAAGTGCTAGATCAGCCTTTCTGAAAGTTGCATTGTAGGAGCCATGGAAAACTAATTCTGTAATCAAATGAATGTGGGAAATGCTCTGTGCCACACCCCCTCTTGGGGATCACAATGCCCATTGGTAAATTAAAGGCATTGAGAAGTCCTATAGTAGAGGAACCTGCTTAATTTTGTTTTATCCTTCATTGTCCAATATATTTTGAACATAAAAACTTTTTTCCTGCTTAGTGTCTGTTAACATTTTGCTGAGCACACACAGGACAGGTGCCTTGCAAGTTACAGAAGCTGACCAGTGACAGAAGATACAGATGTGAGCAAGGCTCACATTCTAAGCTTCCACAGTGAAGGACAGGGGTTAGGTCCAGTGCTCCTGACACGGCTGTGGATGGCTTTGACTTTAGCATAGAATTTGGATATTTATGTTGAATTCTTTTTTCTTTTTCTCCCTC